ATCACCCAGGTCTTCATCATAAAAGAGTTTGGGTTCCCACTCAGAGGAGGAAGGATGTCACTCTAGAGCTACACTTCAGAACTCTATTTCTTGTGAGAGAGCCTAGACTCAGCTGTGGGCACCTGAGCCAAGACAGGGTCTCATTTCTGAGTCTTTCAAGGAGTTTTCCATTGTTCAATTGCACAAAACATCTACATTTGGGTTCCTGAACCCCACCCAGTCATGTTGATTAAGAAGCTCCACTCCACAAATAAGGCCCCAGGCTTATTATTCTATGAAAGCAATCCTGGGTAACTTTTATATACCCACAAAGAAGCTTAGGTACCATGGCCACTCCATGGTAGAATGAACTTGTCAGATAGAAACGATATGACCAATAGTAAGTTGCTTTCTTGGTATGTTTTTTGTTGCTGTAACACTGCTCCTAAAGTTAGTTACTTTATGAAGGGAAGAGATTTATTGATTTCAAAGTTCTAGAGGTCCAAGAGCATGGTGCTGCTGTCAATTCAACTTCTGACTAAATTCAACTTTATTACAAATAGTATCGTGTAGGAAAACATGAGGCTAGAAAGGGGCATGTGTAGAAGTGACCAAAATACCAGGAATGCGCTTATAACAAGTAATCTAGTCTCAAGGCCTAGATGACCCCTGTGACACCCACTCCATCTGGAGAGACCCAAGTTAGTGTCTGGAGAAAGATGTTGATCCATTCATGGAGGAAGATATCAATCCATTCATGAGGACCCTTTGACTTAATTATCTCTTAAAGATCCCACCACCTCTCAGTACCATCATGTAAGGATTTAACATGAGTTCTGCTGGGGTGAATTGTACTCAATACAATAGTTGCTGGCCCCGAGCATGAAGAAGAAAGGATAAGGGCCTGTGATAGACCCTGGGAGGGAAAGCTGCTCTGACTCTCTGCTGGGTGCTGATGGTGGTGTCATCTCCTCCACAGAAAGCCATGAAGAAGACAATGGTGGCTGGTCATCCTTTGTGAGTATGGCTTGGGGTAAATCATCATTATAGTGATGGCCAGAATGGCTTTACATTGATCACAACACTGAAAAAGGAGCAAGACCCTCCACCAACAAGACATTGAAACATCCCAGATCCCAGAAAGGGCCAGGCAGTAAATATTTCCAGCTTTGGAAGTCCGAAGGTTTCCCCTCTAATGCTCAGCTCTGCCCCCATGACATAGAAGCATTCAGAGGCAGTGAGCAAATGAGTGGGTTCAGCTGTGACAATAAAACTTCCTTGAAGAACACAGAGGTGAGGTTGTAACTTGCTGGCCACACCATTGCTCTCCACTACCATGCCCAACAGCAATCCTTCCCTTTCATCTATCTTCCTAGAAATCTATGCTACTGTAACATTTCTTCTCATGGACTTAAGTCACCACTGGTGACACAGAGGGAAAAGCATTCTATAATGAAGTGTTAGCACTGGAAAGGCTGCCACACCAGTTTTACATTAGAAGGGTCACAGTGAAAACAACATTCCAAAGTCTGATGGATTTCGTGTTCCCTCTCCTCAAACCACACATTGTCACCATGCATGAAGCCAAGGGGTAGCTAAAACTCTATGATGGAAGAGAAAGCCAGGGAGCCTGCTGGAGGGTGTGCCTTGTGAAAGCCCTTTACCAGGTAGAGGCAGATCTGGGGCCCAGGCTACCCAATCCTCAGTCTAAGTGGTCTTTCTGATAAGTGACCATCTCTGGGTCTTTAAAAAAGCATTCATGTAGAGAGTGCTCCTTGTCTTATTGGGATTCTAGCAAATAAAAGCATTTCATTAGAAAGAAAATGACCTTTGATAGAGTATGGTTTTTATGGGAAAACAAAGGAATGCAGGAGATTTATTTTGTACAAAAGAAACAAGAGAACCCTTTTCCCCAGATGTGTTTGTGCTTCTGCATGGAAGCTGGATCCCTGCCAAGGTTTGTCTTGAGCCCTCCTGTGCTCATCCAGTGCTTAGTCTTCAATCCTGTCCCCAAAACATGGATTTCCAGTCTTGGAGGCCACCACACTTTGTAGTTCCCTTCTGTAACAGTTCTGCTGGGAGGATGCTGGGATCCCTAGCAGAGATCTCAGAATCCTTACTGTAAAAATGTCATCTGTGACATCTGTACAAGCTGTGCTGTCCCTCTACTATGCTGGCAGGAAGAAGATGATTATGAAAGTCCCAATGATGATGATCCAGAAGGGGAGGAGGATGATGGTGACTATGAGTCCCCCAATGAGGAGGAAGGGGCGCTGGTGGACGATGTGGCTGATTATGAGCCTCCACCCTCCAATGATGAGGAGGCTCTACAGAACTCCATCCTGCCCGCCAAGCCTTTCCCCAACACCAACTCCATGTACATCGGTAAGCGTATCTTTGCAGCCTGCTGGCTCTAGCAGCCCTGGCACAAGCTGCGCATTGAGCCTCTGAGTGCTGATTCCCGCTCAGCTTCTGGAAAACTGTGTGGCTTGAGAGCAAAGAATCTACCCTTTTGGCCATTTCTTCATGAGAGAAACAGGCTAATCATAGAACAGAGGATAGAGGCTTCTGGAAACAGGGCAGCTAAGCAGCACAGCCATCTATAGACTATCACAATAATGGGAAGTTATCCAGAGGGGTTGGTTCCACCTTTACAATGAGACAGTCTTAAGGATGTTCCTCGTCTACCTGTTTCTCTATACCCACATAACCTTCCTCATTCATTAATTCATAAAGTCACAAATGTTACTCATCTCCTACTGCGAGCCAGACAGCATGTGCCAGAAGCTACCAGGTAGGAAGATGCACCTTTGTAGTGTGGGATTACTTTCTAGTAGAGGAGATGACAGAAAATGAACATAGGCACACTTGGCTTCCTCTGCACCCAGGGAGAAAAATGGCTACCCTGGGGGTTGTGTTGTATTCTGCTTCAGACTCCACCCCTTCTCCCCACTGTATGCACTGAAGGACAGAACACTAAAGCTAACAGGCAGGGACCTTCAAACATCACCAAGGCTGTTCCAGACTTAGGAGAGTAAGGCAGAAAAGTGAAACCAGGTTGGTGAGTGTCTCTGGGTGTCTGTCACAAAGACACAGAGTGAGCAAGACAGACCTCATCCTCCAGCACTCTCAGTCTACTGGGTGAGGCAACATCAAACAATTGCATCATGTTATTTCATCAAGCCAGCATGATAAACGGGTTTGCTCCTGTGATAGTTGAGTGATAGTCTTTGGCTGATATTGAGAATGAGTAAGACTTGGTTAAATGAGACTGAGTGGGGGTAAGGGAGGACCTTTTGAAGCAGTTGAAATTGCTGCACAAAAGACCTGAGGTCCAAAGGAACATGACATATCAGAGGAGCTGAAAGGTGGCCTGTGGTGTGGAGAAGACTAGGCTTGGCTTAGCCTATTTCTTCTGGAAGGGGAATGGAATTCTTCCCAGGGTTGGCAAAAGGATGGATCAAGAGAACACTCGGGGTGCTTTTTTCAACCCCAAGTTCCAGACTCCTTCCACAAACCTCCTAGAACTCATATAGTCAGTGTCTTAGTTAGGGTTTATATAGGTGTGATAAAGAGCCAGGGCCAAAAGCACAAGATACCAGGAGCCCCATGGCCACTTGCTGCTCACACCTCGCAGTTCCTCTCTGGCTTCTCCCAGACAAAGGGGTAAGAAACCCAAACTTGTTAAGCTGGTCTCAGGTAGTTCTGTATGCAGTAAGGTGAGGCCATGTGCTATTTAACTTGGTAACGGAGTTGGGGGACCAGCTCCTCCCTTTAAGGGAGGAGACTGGCAAAAGGAGGAAGTAGGAGGGTGAGGCAGCCCAGAACATTTGTGAAGGGAAGGAAGCGACAGAACAACACGCCCATGAGGGGTAGTAGATATTGTAACACTGATAAGCTCCTTGGTGTGCAGTGTGAGCATATGTATGCAGGCAGGCACACATGTGTCTCTGTGCGTGCATAAGCGTCAGCATACACACACGTTTCTAGGTACACGTGTGTGCACATGCATACGAACATATACACTTTATGTGCATATGTACATATATATGCATGCATGTATACACATGTACATCCACACATGTGGAATTGTATCTGAAAACTCTAATTCTGTAGAAACTTCCTTTAGTTGGCAGTGTCTCAGATATCACCTGTTGTTGGGAGGTATGCTGAAAATTATCCCCCTGTATACGATGAATCAAACCAACTTGAGCAGGAAGAGGGGCAGACAGGAGTCAAGGACTTCCGGCCTTCTGAAGGACCCAGGCTGGGTCTGACTAGGGCTCTGATTCACTCTGGTGCTAGTGGAAATCTGGAGGACAAGGATTGGGTGCTCTTGGCACCTCAAGCTGCATGGGCAGGCACAGGATGTTCCAAGAGAACCCTGCATTTAGGCAACACTCACTTCAAATTTTCATTTCTTCTTTCATTTGAATATTGTGTTTCCACAGACCGGCCTCCCACCAGCAAGGTCTCCCAGCAGCCTCCGGTGCCCCCACAGAGACCAATGGCCGCCCTCCCTCCCCTGCCAACAGGCCGGAATTCCTCGGTAAGCCTCCTCCCTTTCTTCCAGGCCACTTTGTATCCATAGCAATTCTTTCTTTAGCGGACAGAAAAGGAACTAAGCATTTTTACCTGATTCTAAGTTTGTAAGTAACGGTTTTGCCGGGGAAGATGCGCACCCACACGCTCTACTTAGCGGTCCGACTTTGCGGTGAAATGTAAGCAGTTTCTATTAATGTCATAATGTTTATTGACATTTTTGGTACCATAAACAACATGAACTGAGTGTTTAATGAGGTACTCCTTTTCCAATGTTCATCTGTTTAACTGTGGCTAAGTTTGGTCCCACATCTCCTGGTGTTGCCAAGGTTCCCAGTATAGCTCTCCCTCCTTCAAGCAGTATTGCGCCACCTGCTGGCCGGATCCCAAAATTTCAGGGATGAATGCCTCCCAGACAAAATTTCCAATACTGTGAAGTCCAGGAGAAACAGTGGTAACAAGCCCCCTTTTCCTCTCCTTTCATCATTCAGTCCGTCTCCTATGGAGTTTACACAAAGCTAAAGGAGTCAGCATCTGGCGATGTGTTCTTTCCCCCCAAGTGTCCTGGGCATGTTAACAACTGTGGCAAGGCCCAAAGTGTCAGGACCGGAAGGGAAGATTAGGGTGAGAGGAGGGGTCTTGGCAAACATGGAGACCTCACAGTAGGGGGGACCTCCTTCTCATAGATGGCCCCATCCTTCCGGCATAACACCTTTGCAAAGGGGCTTCATGGAACTCCATGTGCCCTACACAGGCATTTTGTTTTTGAAGTCTGGAGGATTTCTCCTCCATCACTGGAAGGCAGAATTTGCCCATCACACTGATATATATTGATAAGGCAGCTACTGCACACCAGTGTTCTCTGTGCCAGGGGAAGAATATGAATAGCACAGAATGCCCTGACTTTCATGAGGTTTTGGTGATAAACAAGTAAATGTAGAAATGATTTGAATATGTAGTTAGGAAGGTAGAGACCAGGCAACGTGACTGAGGGTACCAAACTGACCCTGAGCTGGCACAGGACAAGCCAGTCATGTGGAAAGCAGAGAGAACACCCCATGCAGAGGCCCATACAGCCACAGAGATGTTGAAGAGTATGTATGGGCTTCGGGTTTTGTGAGAACTGTAAGGCGATCCTTATGTGGCCATCCTTCGAGCATCTGAGAAGGTCATAGAAATTCGGAACATCTCATGTAGGGTTTCACATGGGGCTTGGGTTTCATTTCTGATGTGACTAGTGCCCCCGGAGGGCTTGCAGGGGTTTCTGCTTGGTCCTTTGCTGTGCAAAAGGCATTAGCAGCTCAGCTGACCAAGGGCCTGGCAAGCGGCAGGGGGGGGAGGAGCAGATCCAGATAGATTTCAGGAGACAGTGCCACCAAGTCTTACTGAAGTGTATGTTGAAAAGCTTCCAAATATTTGAATTTTTTTTAAATTTCATGCAGCCACTATCTCCACCCCATCCCAACCACGAAGAACCCACCAGAAGTCGAAACCACAAACCAGCGAAGTGTAAGCATACTGTTGCTTTCTGATCACCAGCTCACCTGCCCCAGCTAGTAGCTTTCTTCATTTAACTGACTTCAGCCTTTTCCACTCCAGTGCCTGCTCCATCAATAGACAGAAGCACAAAACCTCCCCTCGACCGCTCATTGGTGCCTTGTGACCGAGAGCCCTTCACACTAGGTTGGTATTACTCATATTTTATGCATAATAATAATAGCTGCTTTTATAGCGCACTCAGTGCACTTTTGTATACACACTATCACATTTTACTACTGTACTGTTGTGAGAAGCATCCTTATTTTACAGAGGAAGAAACCGAGGCACAAGGCAGTAACTTTCCAACATCTCTCAGCTACCAAATGAAGATAGAGACCTAAACCCAGATCAGCCTGATTCCAGATCTCCTGCTCTTAGACCTTGAGCTGTGCCTGCTCCACTATAACTGTGAGCTGTGTGGACTTTGGCCAAGGCACAGAAGGAAGCATCCTGGTACCCAGGAAGAAAATGGGCTGAGAGGCAGAGCTCTGGGAGAGCTTTTGTCAGCTGTTTTGGCTGCTATTTCTTAGTTTGCTGACCCAGGGAGAGGTACTACTTCCTTAGGGCACAGCCTTACCATAAGGACAATATTCTCTTAGGAGAAAATGTTTTCTAACATTCTAAGTACCATTTAGATCTCAGAATTGCTCTTTGTTGTGGATATGTGCAGTTGATCAAACACTACGGACTTTTCTCATAATTTACTCATGACTCTAGCTACCCTTTCATAGAGTTATTTTTAAAATTCAACTCTAAAATTTAGCTACCATTTATTGAATACCTAGTATGGGTCAAATGCTTTAATATCCTTAGGCAAGCCAGTGAAGGGGGGTTATTATCAGCCCCATCTCTCAGAGTATGAAATAAGTTCAGAGATGTTGAATGGTATGTTCAATTTGCATAGGTGGGTTAAGATTCAAACCCATGTCATTTTTTTCTAGATTTTTTATATTTGAATTAGAAACAAGATTGTTTTACATGACAATCCCAGTTCCCTTCTCCCTCTCGTCCTCCCCTACTCCCACCCCCAACTAATACCATACCTAGCACATATCTTTTCTTCTCCCCAGGGCGGGTGAGGCCTTCCATAGGGTGTCATCAGTGTCTATTGTATCCTTTGGGATAGGGCCTAGGCCCACCCCTGTGTGTCTTGGCTCAGGGAGTATCTCTCTATGTAGAATGGGCTCCCAAAGTCCACACCTATGCTAGGGATAAGTACTGACAAACCCATGTCTTTCTGACTTTGAAGTGGGTGCTGTTTGCATCCTGTCAAATTTGTAATCCAGATCTCAGCTCCATCCTTTCTCCTCTCCAGCAGGATTCTGACCAAAGCATTTGCCTTTTCCTGGCCTCAGGATTCTCCTCAGTTGGCCAAATGACTTTGAGATCTTGGACTGGGAGCTGCAGCTTCCTGTTTTCCCCTTAGCTCTGCTGACTCATGCAGAGCTGTGTTAGCCCATTGAGTTTAGAGTTCACTGTAGAGAGATGTACATATTATATAAAAAGGAGCCAGGCAATGGTGGCACACGCCTTTAATTCCAGCTCTCAGGAGGCAGAGGCAGGCAGACCTCGGTGAGTTTGAGGCCAGCCTGGTCTACAGAGGGAGTTCCAGGACAGCCAGGGCTGTTACAGAGAGAACCCCTGTGTCAGAAAACAAAACAAACACCACCACCACAACCAAAGGAGATAAAGTTGATTTGGACTTTAACCCTACTGGCTAACACAAGCCAGGGCATTGGGAAGTTGGAATACAGATGTCAATACTTCATAGTCATCTTCAGACACACAGCATACCTCTTAAAAAGTTACCCTTTATGATTTTTGCAGACATTTTAGGAATATCATTTCCTGATAACACATGTTTGATCTTTGAATTACATCCTTGTCCATAACTCTGCCAAGGAACTAACTTCTTCCACTAATGCTTAGACTTTGACCATAAAACTCCTAACACACAAAGAGCATATATGTATATCAGAAGATTGCTGTTTGGTTTGTTTGTTTATTGCTTATAAATCAAATACCTTCTGAAAAAGGAAAATTTACTTTGGCCAAAGAATGCTAATTTACTTTTGGGATACTCTTTTAACGAAGGTGCTCCATCTCAAACTCTAAATATTTACTAAACTTCTTTTGTGCCATGAGATTGTTCTTCCCTTGGCCAGCGAGTTATTCAAAGTAGCCAATTTCCTTAGACCTTCCTGGGTCTACCATGAACTCAGACCTAATGGGATACTATGAATATGTGATTCCAGGTGGACACCTTAGCATGCACGTTAGGATGCTAAGGATGGGAGAGTGGGAAAGAGAGAGGAGCTAGCCAGCATTTGTCAATGCTCACCCATCCTGTCTCTGACCTTGCATATAAGTTACCATCTGACCCTCACAGCAAACCTCCACTGACTTCCACAATTGTGGAAACTGAGAACCAACATGCTCAGGTACTATCAGCCTGCTTCCAGATCTACCAGAACCTCAATAATGTTCTTATCACATAGACAACCAAAGGTTCATCTAACCTTCAGGATCTCAGATAAAAGTAACCTAAGTAGTTTTGAATAACTTGACATTAAAGAGCCCTTAGATATAAATACTTGAGCTCAATGTCTTCTCTTCTCAAAGAAATCAAACAAGTGGGCAAACAAAAATCACTGCCACTTGCCACCACCATTTGATTGGTGATGATGGTCTACCATCACAATGACTACCACCACCATGACCACCACTATGTCTATCATCATAATGACTACCACCACTGTGACCACCACCACCACCATGGCCACCACCACCACCACCACCATGGCCACCACCTCCATGACCACCATCACAATGACTACCACTACCATGACTACCACCAACATGACCATCACCACAATGACCACCACCAGCACCATGACCACCACTCTCACCACCACCACCACCACCATGACCACCATCATCACCAATCAAATGGTTTCTGGCATACCAGGACAATCTTCTAAAGCCCTTGTTTCCAAGTTAATATTTCTTTCAGAAACCAAATGGCATTCTTTACGTAATATTAACTGTACCATAGGATTTGGAGGAAATTTACTCCTTCATGCCACACTGAATTACTTCAAAAATCAAACTGGGCTGGGCAATAGATGCTTAAGCCAATGAAAGAAAAATAAAATCCCAAGAAGACATCTATCATTTGATGCTCAGTTATACTAAATCACATGTTGGAAAGCAGTACAGAACCCTGTCATCCAGTTAGCATGTACATAGCTGTGTGGCTTGGATGAGCCAGAGAGTATTTTTAAGCCAAGATCAGGTGCCCTGCAAAAGTCCCTCCAACATCTGAAGCCCATGCTTGAAGTCAGTCTTCCCTGGAGACCCAGACATGGTGTTCGTCAGAATCTGTTTTTCAACCTTACACTTGTCCCAAATTGAATATTCTGCTCTCTCTTGTTTCCAGGAAAGAAACCAACATTTTCTGACAAGGTAAGCTGGGGGTTTGTTGTTTTTGTTTTGTTTTGTTTTGTTTTTTTCTGGTGTGTTTGTGGTTTTAGTTTTTGTTTGATTTTTTTTTTTTTTGGTCTCGTCCTTATTTTTTGGAAAGTGCTGGAACCTCACATGTCTTCCATGTCTTCTCTAATATCTTGCTGCCCTCTGCCCCTGTGGGAAGGTAAGCCTCTATTGTTGCAGATCTCTGCCCACTTAAAGTGGTTTCTTACAAATAAATCCTTTCTCTACTTACTCAGTAGGACTCTCGGGGAGCATTTACCCAAGATACAAAAGCCTCCTTTACCACCAGCCATGGACAGACACGAAAGGAGTGAAAGAAGTGGAC